CACAGTCAGCGCTCGATTGGCGCCACGGTGGCGAGATGTGAACTACTTCGCCTGGTACGCAGGACGTCGTGGGTTCAATCCGGACGCTGACACCTGCATATTTGATGCGTGCATTCTCTCCCCATGGTCGCGTCGATTTTTCTCCAGGTCCTCCGGTTTTGCTTCCACCATTTAGAATCATGCGAATTGAGTCATTGGCTGCTATACATGTCCACGTGATAAGCCACTTCGTTGAACTGTCGTTTGTGGCCAGGTCGCTTCTGAAAAAGAGCTACGTAGCTCAGTGGGCCTTACCTGGTAAAAGAAGAATTGTTTAAATTAAAAAAAATTGGAGAGAGATTCCCTCCCCCCTTGTGATGTTTCTCTGTGAATGGTCGCGCATGCAGCTTAATGGATCTGGTCTGGCGCAGCGATGAGTGAATTTGAATGGATAGAATAACGTCGCGAATTATTTTCAGCTCTCGCGATAAAATTAGCAGCGGTGCGTTAACCGCAGGTACCTTGGACACAAGAGACACTAAATACGAGTGAAATGAAAAAAAAAAGCAGGACATCACGGAAGTATGTTACGCAGTATGAGCAAAAGCATGATAAGTGAATTGCATGTTAAAGGAACATTGATGGCGCTTCGAGATGTCACTGCATAAAGGTAACAAAATAAGAAGTGGTGTGTGTATGCATGTTGAATTTCCTTCACAACCGGACGTAGCCATCCGTGCTAATCGAAGATGCGGTTGTGTAGGTTGGGAAACCCCCATTATCGTCATCAGCATTTGTTTTATATATTTTTATTTTTTATCAGCGATTTTGAATGAGTGTTTCTTGGGAAACGGAGTGTTTTACCACTAGCACTATTCATGACTAACCTTGCACAGGTTCGCCCACGTGGCTATCATGACCCCTTCAAGAGACGTGTCCTGCCCAAGCCCACCCGCTTTATTTATTTATTTATTTATTTTCCTCCGCCAACATATTTACTTTAGACTGGAGGAATCCGATGAGCTATGAAGCTCTTTTTTTCACAGATGTTGGTATGTATGTTGAACTTATTTCATGGTCTACGTAGCCAACCGTGCTAATCGGAGGTGCGGGGGGTGAACAACAACAACAACAGATGTCCAGTAGGGGCGGGTAAGCGTGTCACAAAATAAACTTTGTCGCTACTGATGCCTGCCGTGGCTGGGAATACATCTAAGGGTCGCCAAGGTTCATGGCGCAGTTGCGCTAACCACAGCACCACCACTCCTACCCAAGGGCATCGTAATTATTTTTTTTAATCGAAGAAATGTGGTTTGTAATATGGTGGCCGCTTGCAATGAGACGTTTAAACGATCAATCACTGCCGTTAATTGCTGCTGCCCACATTAAAGTGTCTCTCGGTGTACGGTTGTTTAAGCAGCCGGGAATAATGAGTTTGTTACCACCCAAGGATTCTGACGTTCTCAGTGTGGCATTGCCTAGGGCCCCGCCAATCCAAACGGAAGCAGTTTAACACGTGGAAGGCTTTCGCGGCCAATATCATCCATAATACAAGGGGGTTTTGGGTTAGATCGCGTAAGTATAAAAATGTGTCGTTAAACCAGCCAGATGTGGCCGTCGCCTGATGAAGCCGGTTGTAATTCCTGGCGAAACGTCGTACTCAGATTGTAAATGTTGTGGATTTGCTCCCCAACACACCGGTGTGCTGTACTAGTGACAAATTGGCACGTTCTGTTTACGTGACCAACCTTACTAATTGTCTGTGTCGGGTGGTGGCGGGTTTAACGACACATTTATATATTTACGTGATCTAACCCAAAAAAACTTGCATTACAAACGAAAGCATTCATCATCGGAACATTTCGAGACACACGGGGAGCGAGTATGCTGAACTTCTTTCGCACCGTACGTAGCCAACCGTGCCAATCGGAGGTGCCAATGGTTCGTAGTGCAGTCGACAGAGAAATACGTACAGGGGGGAAAGTGGTCTACAAATCATCACAAATTGCACCGCATGACCACGCGCGCGACCTTCACAAACCGGTTCAAATTCGACATTTCACTTTGCGCACCTTAAAACCGGCAAAAAAAGTGGAAAACATGTTTACATCAAGGTTTGAGTTGAGAGTGCACGGGGCACAATTGAGACTGACGGTTTGCTGAAAGCGTTTTAGAGTCCCGCGCGTTGAATCCCGAGGTGGTTTGAAGTCAAGTACCATATGTCGTCTGCATGATCATCTGGCCGATGTTTGCAGTGCAGTCGACAGAGAAATGCATACAGATGCACTTCAAGATAGACACGCTGCGAGAGAGACAACCTCAAACAATCGTATGCCGAGAGGGACTGCTTTTTAAAAAAATACATATGATAAATCAACAACCAACGCAGAGTAATTGTGGACACAGAGACCTCGGGGATTCCGCCCCAGGGGTTAAAGGTCAGCGCACCGAACGTGCAATCCAGAAGTCACCGGTTCTGTTCCAAAGGCGCGACTTCCTTAAAACTCCTAACCCCCCCCCCCTCCCCCCCGTGTGAGTACTCCCACCTCGTCGCGACGACGTCTGGCCAAACGTGGACAAGAGTCGGACAAGATCACTTCTCCAGGGGTTCTCTCGAACTCCGTCTAGCGGGGGTGAGGTTGGGGGGGGGTGCACCTTTCCGCCAGCATAGGGATGGGTGGCCAAGCGAGATCAGAGAGGAATGCTCTCTCCAAAACTTACCGAAATCAACAACAGCCTCTGGATGCGGCAGGGACGCCGAACATGCCAAGAACTCACGGTGGTGTCATTGTCGATTTCAAAAAGCACATTTCCACTGTTAATGTTTTCTTTACCATTTTACAATGTGTGCACTTCCAATGGAGTGCATCTGCTCTCTGCCTATCACACACACATCTATTGCTGCTGTTCTCTATAACAGTAAAACTAAAAACGGAACTCATATTCTTTGGTTCTTTCGGTAAAGTCACGTAGATTGAAAAATAATATTAAAAAAAAAACACTCACGTCGTCTTTTCCTCTTTCTCTGCCTGATGACGACCGCTTGTGTTGCGATCGAAACGTCGTGAGATTTATTTATTTTATTTTCTATCTACGTAACTTTACCGAAAGAACCAAAGAATATGAATTCCTGCAGTCACGAAAGTTTTAAGTCAAAATAAAAAAAACGGAAATATATTTTTTTATTTTATGAGGTAAGGCCCACTGAGCTATCCGGCTCTATTTCAGAAGCGACCTGGCCACAAAGGACAGATCTGCGAAGTGGCTATTCGGGTGGAAATTTATCGCAGCCAAATACTCTACACGAGTGTTGTTGTTGTTTCTAAATGTGGAGGGGAAAAACCGATAGACCCGGAACAAAATCCATTAGACCACAGAGAGAGAGACATGCAAACTCCAAATATAGAGCAGCAGGTGTCAGGGTCGGGATCAAACCCACGACCTCCTGTATACCAGGCGAGGTAGTTAACATCTCCTAGCCACCGTGATGATGAGATAGAGAGAGAGACACGCAAACTCCAAATATACAGCAGCAGCAGGCGTCAGGGTCGGGATCGAACTTACGACCTCCTGAATACCAGGCAAGGTAGTAAACATCTCCTAGCCACCGTGATGATGAGATAGAGAGAGAGACACGAAAACTCCAAATATACAGCAGCAGGCGTCAGGGTCGGGATCGAACTGACGACCTCCTGAATACCAGGCGAGGTAGTTAACATCTCTTAGCCACCGTGATGATGAGATAGAGAGAGAGACACGCAAACTCCAAATATACAGCAGCAGGCGTCAGGGTCGGGATCGAACTCACGACCTCCTGTACACCAGACGAGGCGGTTCACATTTCGCCACCGTGGTGTCCATAACGGGCAGCATTGGTGTACCTAAGCTTAGGAAAGTTCACAAGTTCACTTCCCGAGTAAAGCCCATTGAGCTCGACAGTTCTTTTTTTATTACCAAGGGCGACTGGGCCAGCGAAGACGAGCGGCAGCAAAGGGCTACGCGCAAGAGTGAATCCCACGTCCGCCCGATTGGAACTCCTTTAGCACCGTGCGTGGCCAACCGCGCCCGATGGAGCAGTGTCTGTTACACCCATCGGCCTGTTACAGAGCACAGAGGCAATGGTCGAGCGAGACACTTTGAGACAGCCACGCGAATAGGGCCCTCGCATATTTATTATTTTGATCTTTGGTTCACAACCGAAAGGGCAGTGTCGGTGTAGAATTACATCACGTTCAACCCCGGTTCTGCGACCGCCCGCGCGTACTGCGACGGCGGATCACCGAAGCATTCCTTTCATACGAGGTCCGATGAAAAAGTGCACATACCGTGTAATTGTACCATAATTAGACAACCCCCCCCCGCCCCTCCCCAGCTAAGCCCAAATACAACATCACATATCTGGAATTGTTACAATTCCTGGTTTTAAGTGGAAAGAATCAGGGGCTCAGGAGAAACGCAGCAGTTATAAACAGGAGGGCGGAGGAAATGTCAAAACTTTGCGTTGCAAAGCCGATGGACTCTAAGCCCAGACGTGCTATCCAAATGTTATGTCCAATTTTCCCCCCATAAATGAGGACTTTCCATTCCACTAAGCCTCAATGTGACAGTTGCTACTAAACTGTATACATGAAATCATCTTACGGTTTATATACATACGCACAGACAAAAATATATACTGGAGTAATCGACAATTATGATGTCTGCATGAGAACTTTGGAGGAGAAAAAACCCTCCTGTCATACGTTGGTATGAGAATTATCATTATTTTAAGATATATGAAAAGAGAGACAGTTCAGCAAAGTGTCAGCGCGCCTGCGTTTCTTTTTCATCTCGAGTGAGCACACGCAGTATAACAAAACAGAAGCATAGCGCGCGGTGTGATACTTCTCTCTCGAGCAACCTCAGGGTGATACAATGATCCAAACTCCCAACAAGCCATCGACGAAGACCGCGATGTCACAGAGCCGCCAACACACACCACGATGCCATCCACAACCGCGGTCCAACGGAGGCGTCCTTACCACGTGTCTCAACTCCTCACACCTTCTCTTCAGAGGAGCGCCGCGCCGCCACTGCTTCAAGGCACCATCGGGGTACTTTTGCTTCTGTGGGTTTTAGTTATTTATTCTTATTATTATATCCACCCCCCCCCTCTCTCAACCCCGCAGCACCCTCCCTCCCCCACCCCCCGTTTCCCTACCGCTACACAACTCTCATCACCACTGTGGAATTGACGCTCGAGTCGTCCTATCGCGGCTCGCCGCAGCCTCGGTTATCGATGGATCCGCGGGTGGGTGGAGGTGCTCGCTGGCGTTGGCGGCTCACGCACGCGAACACACGCACGCGCACACGCGCACGCAATCCCCTTGTGCTGGCTGGCCGGTTCGGCGCTCGCGACTTTTTAAAGAGTGGAGCCAGAAAGAGCGTGGACGTCAGTGACGGCGTGGATTGCAAAGGGTGTGTTCGGGGCTTCTGGCGGTGCTCGTGTGGGTGGGTGGGGTGGGGGTTGCGTGGCGTGGCTGGGTGGGTGGGTGGCTGGCTGGCTGGCCGGGTGGGTGGGTGGGTGAGCGAGTTCAGCGTGTGCGTGACTCGTCATGTTTACGAACCTTCGTGAGCGGTTGGCTACGTACGGTGCGAAATACGTCCTACGCACGTGTGCCAAATAAGTTCTACGTACGTGTGCGCGCGCGTGTGCGTGATAGCATCTTGAGCAGTGGCCAGTGATCGATGCCACTGCTCAATTAACACAGCGACCTGAGTTTGTGACCCTTAGCAGACTGTTGGGGAAAAGTGCTGTTAGCGAGCACCTATTAAAGCGGAGGTGGGTTGTGTGGCTTGCACCATGCATACCTGCCATTGTCGCCCCAGTAATGTTGTTTAACGCATTGCAACTGGGTATACTCGCTTTAGGTTGAGTCAACCTAGGGGAGGACCAATACATATTCTGATTCCAATTATCACTGACATTAGTCACGGCTAGAAATGTAACTCAGATCACTGGATTCAAAGTGCAATGTGCACACCACTGCATCACCACTACCCACGCATACATACTTAAACCTACACGTATACTGGTATAGATCTCTGCTGGTATAGATAACATAGTTAAAATGATGATTTAAAGCTTTCGTGACTGCAGGGATTCATATTCTTGGTTCTTTCGGTAAAGTCACGTAGAAGGGAAACAATGTGACTTTACCGAAAGGGCCAAGAATATAGTTAAAATGTTTAACGTGTTACAATAGTGGAATGGATAAAGGATGAGGTTATGGATTTTAGGGTTGGATATATTTAAACCGTACAGTCATAATGCTACATGCATCAATAAATAACAGGAGTCTGTTTAATGCTTTCAACAAAACCATGAATGCATTATAAGCCCCCAATGCGTGGCCAAGTATTAGAGACATATAAAGTAGTGTACCTACAAAGAAGCGCACGAAGGCCGCACTGCACAACTTGAGGGGCATTGAAATTCCATAAACAATTCGCACGCATGCACAGCGCTCGGCGGCACGTTTTTGTAACATCAGTATTGGAAGCGTGCACACGGTGAGTTAATACCTGAAGAAAATATTGTTTGCAAAACAAGGCGACCTTCGGGACAGGTATTTTGCCCACACAGTTGCCATTTTTTCTCTTCTTCTCCAAAGTCCATATCATAATACCTCTGGCTGGGGCTACGACAAATCCGGAGACAGAGCGATGGCACGCGTGAAATTCCGCGCAATCAAAACATTTGCCAAATCGCTGGCGGTTATATTCAAGGAAAATATATCAAATGAAATGCCACGGGCTCGATAAAAAAAAGAACGTGAAAAAACATTTTAGATAAGAAGTAAAACTCCCCCACCCACCCACCCACGCTCCCACACACATTGCAGCACATAACCAATAGATTATAAACACTTTTCTGACACTCAGCGTAGGTTTTTTTTTTTTTGGGGGGGGGGGGGGTTTAGAACTTTTATTTTAACGACGATAAAAAAATGTATTAAAAAAAGTTTTGCTCACTGAATTGCTGTCTTGGAAAGCTCAGACTGCGGATGCGATGACCCCCCCCTCAACCTCCGCTTCCGTTGCCATTAAAGACTTCAGGAGAACTCTGCAAGCAAAACCAGCTCCGCGAATTTTCATCGGAGAAAATAACCGCCCCTTTGTTTGCCTGAGACATTTATTAATCATTTATCACCGGTTCTCTTCAACGATTAACCGAATTTATTCGAAGAAGCGCATTAAGTTTTGATTATTAAACCACGGACACGCATTTGTTTGCGAAGGCATGACATTTTTTTATTATTATTATAGATTGTAACAAAAAAATAAGCATCTTAAAGTGGTTATGGTTACTGGAGTAGAAACTCGCTTAAAATGAAACCGGGCCTCTTTGGAGTGGTCTAGTTGGCTCAGATTCTAGACGCATAACTAAAAAAAAATCGCAATTGCAAAAATTGTTTTAAAAAGGCAATGAAAAGAAATAATAAATACTCTGCAATGCATATATATGCCCACTGCGCAAGTTAACGAGTTGCTTCAGTAGATATGCAACGTATGCAGCAACATACGCACACGCCACGTGTATCCACAAGCGCAGACGCACAGTAAGTTCGGTAACGTCGCGAGCGTTTGTGAAGAGGCTCACATTCTGTGCGAAGGCATTCGCCACGGGAAGCGGACATGCAGTGAGCGCAACCTTCTTCTATACGACAGGAAACACAACTATAAACAATTTTTTTAATTTTATTTTACCAGGTAAAGGCCCACTGAGCTGTGTAGCTTTTTTTTTCAGCGGTGACTCGGCCACAATTGATAGCTCCGTGTAGTGGCTTATCACCGTGTTGAAATGTAGAGCAGTGAAATGCTCTAAACGCATGTTTCTAAATGTGGATATAAAAACCGGAGGACCCAGAGAAAAATTCACACGAGCACGGGGAGAACATGCAAACCCCAAATATTAGGCAGGCGTCAGGTTCGAAATTGAACCCACGACCTCCTGTATACCAGGTGAAGTAGTTAACATCTCCTAGCCACCGTGGCGTCTCCAGACCAGACTACACAACTATTCTCAATCTTGATTACGGTGGGGTTGGCACGAGAATGACTGCACGCAAGCTATCTCTCTCTCTCTGAACACCACAGATCAAAATTCAAGCTTGGGTAGGATATATATGTGCGTGTGTATACAGAGTGGCCCAAAAGTCAAGACACATCAGGTTATTATGTTTATTTTAACAAATCACGTATGACTTGCTTTTATTTTAACAAATGTTCAAACTTACTCCCATTAACGTTAATGCACACATGCATTTTCTTTTGAAGTTATTTTAGGACTTTTTTCATGAAAGATTACAGCTGTGTAATCTTTGAACGTTAATAAATAATGTGTGTTATCTAGAATAATGAAGGGCTCTTGGTCGAGTTTTGTAACACGGCGGATTTAAGGTGACCCCGCAAGAAGAAGCGAATGGTATTTTATTAACGACAATAGATCAAATATTAACTTCAAGAATGAACAATTAAAATGTTTTAAAGCCGGTGATCAAATAAATTAAAGAATCCTATGTGTCCTGACTTTTGGGCCACCCTGTACATGAGGCAAAAAAACCGGACCCACGTGCTTTGGGATGTTTAAGGAAAGCCCCTGTGCTGGATTACGAGAAGGTTCCACATCTAGTACCCATGTCATATTAATCAAATTCTCAATTAAAACCGATTCCTGAGCTGACTGGGTGGCTCAGCACTGAGCTGGCCACCACCGAGAATCTGGGTTCAAATCCAGGTTGCTGCCTCTGAATAAACCGAGTCTTCAAGCGCATTTTGGAAAATCTGCCAAATTACCTTGAAGCAATGTCGTTCTTATATTCAAACGAAACGTTGCGCACTCTTTCTGCTGTTGCTCCACAACATTTATCAATGCCTCAGCCAGATTCGAAGATGCCCACTAAGAAGCAAAGGCAAAAAAGCTCGCTGGCGAATATTCCATTTGCGCAGCAACAGGCGCATTACAACAATGGCTCAGAAGTTAGCGGCACTGAGCTAGTACTGCTGCCATTCTGGGCCCGAATCCAGGCGGCCGCCTATGGATAAAGCAGGTTCTGACGTGCAGTTAGTCCACCACGTGACCACACGCAACAATAAACCCCCATCACATTAGATGTGGTTCTGCACTTAATGTGGTTACATTATATCTCTGGGAATGAAAACGTTGGTCTGATTGTCATGCGACGAGCAATAGTCTCATACGCAGAGCGGGTGGGCAAGTGCTGCCCTCTGCTGTTATGTGGACCAGAGGTCACTTGAAAGGCTCTCAGATGTAGCTCTGTGATGTCCGCTTCCGTGGGCCGTTCGCTAATGCGAAGGGGTGGCACCACTCTGCGAGAGATCCGAATGGAACCTTCGGCTCATGATAGCACATCGAGATGAAATTGTGGAAACCTTTTTGTTATCTATTTTTATGCCCACGATACAAACACAGTAATTGTTATTTGATGTATCCATGAAAGACTCACCGCGTGTAGAAGTTGACTACGCTCTATACAAATAAAATGCGAATTGTAACTTTAAAAAAAAATGTAATGGACCAGACGTAACAAACAACATGATTAAATATGAGATGGGCATGACAAAGGAGACAAAATTACCCCATCCTAAAGTAAACTCGGAACTCCGAATGGTGGTAACTCATTACATTTCACGGGGAGCTACTTTTTTTAAAAAAAATTGCTAGTATCTAAAACCGAAGACACCAAGATTAGAAATGTCCTCAAGAACCAACTTATACCACTATCACACGCCCGAGAAACTGCCATTATTGCCTATTGTGCAGGGAGAATTCGTCGATATGGGAAAGCCCCAGGACTGAGCAATGCCGAGGGGTTGCTGTTTCATTGAAATGAAGTTCTGTATTGAGGTACCCTGACGCGGTTCTGTGTCGAGGAGAGGCTTTGAGCGAGCAACGCCATCGCACCTCCGATCTCGTTTTCAGTTTTGACATCAGATTCCATCAAAATTTTTAAACCGTGAGCAGGCCCATGAAAAAAAAAGAATCAGAGAAGGAAGCAACACACCTCAGAATCATAATCGTTCAGAATTACAAAAAAAATCCGTATTCATCCTGGAGAAATCCGATGAGCTATGAAGCTTTTTTTTTACAGATGTCCAGGAATCGGATTGAACATTAGGGAGGAACGATGTTGGGGAAGAGAGGTGAAGGGTGTCCCTTCTTCATGGTTTCACTGACGCCAGAGACAGTGGTCCAATGAAAAGCGACAAAATTAACCCCCAAAAAACCCGAGTGTCCAACACAACAAAGGCTCCTTTGCACCACCCTCCTTTTTTCCACACGTTTTGATGAGCACCCCTTCGACCCAACCCATTTCCTCGCGCATGCTTAACGGATGTCCCTTCACCACCTTTGATGGCACGGCGACGGCTGGGGGGGGGGGTGGGTAGGGGCGGCGGGCGGGAGGGCGGGGGGGCAAAGGTCACGCTGACAGCTC